TAATGAGAAAAATTTTGATAGCATAAAATTAATAATTTTATAGAATGTTTTTGTTGTTCTATCTAAAATTCATTATAAAGTCTTAAATCATGCCAATTTTTGTGTTTATGTCCTAAGTTTTTAATGCTTTAAACATTTTATATTTAGATCTATGTTCCATTTTTAGTTAAGGTGTGAGGTGTTCGTTAAATTCATTTCTTTTATATATGCACTTGGAAATGTTTCAGGAACAATTTTCTCCATTGAAATACCTTTGTGCTTTAAGAAAAATCAGTTAAATGTTTTTATGTTGATTTATTTATAGATCTTTATTCTGTTTCATTGATTTGTGAGTATATTGTTTTATTCACACACCCTAGCTTGATTATTATAGCTTTATGTCTTAAAATTGAATATCAGGAACACTTTGACATTCTTTTTCAGAAATGTTTCATTATTTTAATTCTCTTAGCTTTCACATAAGTTTTTAAAATCCTTTTGAGTATCTATAAATAAGGTACTGAGACTTTTGATGAATTGATTATATAGATCAAATTGAGGAGAATTTTGAGTTTTCCAACCCATGAACATGATTTATCATCTGTAGTCCTTGGTAAGGTAATACTAAAATGTATACATCAATGGACAGAATAGTCAAACAATTTTGAAAAAGAATAGTTGAAAGATTTCTGGGTGCAACTTTCTATTATGGATCAGATGGGGGTGGTATCTAAGTATCTGTCACCAAATTTTTAAGGTTAGCTAAATTTCTTCCTGTGTAATTTTAAGAAATGTTTATAGTTTTCCATTTTAGATCTGTGAATCACTTTGAGTTAACTTTGTGAAAGGTGTAAAGTCTATGCAAAACTTTATTTTACTTTATTTCCTGCATTCTTTAGGCTCCAATTAGTTTTTTTCCCCCACATTATTTTATAAAGCAGAATTGTAAATCCTTACTTCTTTTTTTTCAGCACTGACATTGAACCCAAGGCATCCCATCCACTGACCAAGCATTACTCAATAAATTTTTCAGGAAAAGGATTACATTTTATTTCAACATTTATTGATTAAAAAATATTGATGACCCAAATAATCATTCCTTAGCTAAAATATTAAGTCTTATAGATAGCTTTAACGTTTTGCTTATCTGTTTTAAAAAGCAATCCTGACAAGGATACTGATAAAATAGTTCAGTATTCATCACTGGGCCATATGTGGAGTCTGCTTACTCTGCTTTTTTTCAGTTGTGGAGTTTTGCACTTGCATCACTTCATTTCACCACCATCATATTTTTTCTTCCTTGAGTGTAAGATGGTTTATTCCTCAGAAATTAATAAAACAGGACTTTGCATTATAAATCTGTTTATCGGAATCACAAAGGGCAGAGTTCAGTAATGGGTAACAATTTGCATACATATCAAGGTTAAAAATAACCCCATAGGAGACTATCATTAGGGTTAGTTCTGCATCTGGTAGTATAATGGAAAGGTCAATAAAGAGTACTATGGGGGAGGCTACAAGGAAAGCTGGTATTTGAAAAAAGAAAATCTTGATTCCTTTATGCATTTCTGCTGGTGACTAGAAATAAATGTACCTTTCTGTTGCTATTTATATTTGTGGAGCTGCATAGTAATAAGAAAAACAGTGAAATGTATGAAAATTATAATGCAGTGTAAGTGAAGATGCATTCCTACCAACACCACTGTGATAACATATTTTTGTGTCGCTGGTGTTTATCTCTTCCAATATTCCACTCTCAACATTTTCACTGGACACGGGATATAACTTGATGCCTCATAACAATTTGTAGCAAAGGACAGTGGACCCCAAAATTTAAACTGAAGGGATTCTTTTAGATTCACCTCCAGGGACATACATGCATACATACGTACATACATACATACATAGATGTCACTCCCAGTTTGCTAATGTTGGAAAAAAACTGCATGAGATGAAACTCCAGAGTATATTTTAGGGTATTGTGGAAGAAGATGACCTACAATGACTTCTGTGGGCATCGAGGAACTAAACAAAAGCCAAGCTCCTTCTGAGTGACCTGTGCTGAACCAGCATTTCACATGTGAGTGCTTCAGAATCTCCTTAAAACTCAGCTTCTGGCTTCAGTCCCTGGAGAGTCAGGATCTCTCCAGAGCTCTTGGTGGGGTACAGTTACTCCTGCTGGCACAATTGGCACTCGATGAAGGCACCCAGGCCCCCTTCCCAGCATGAAGCAGCCCTCCTCCAGCCCTGCTGACTTCTGCCTCCCTGGGGATGCCAGCTATCTCCTTTTCAGGAGCGTTACACTTCTGAGACACCCACACTCGTTGTTCCCACACAGGGCACCTGGGATGACAATTGGCAGACACAGGGTACGGGAGCTTCTCCATCACCTGTGAGGTAAGACCACCTGGACTCTCCCAGGAAGATGAGGCCTATCCTTCAACCAGCTGGGACCTCCACCCCTTGATCCTCCCTCCTTCTCTTCTTTCTTTCTTCTTGGGAACACTGCCTGAAAGCCTCATCTCTGGCTGTGCTCCAAGAGAACCTGGCCAAAAGCAATTCCAGAGCACATTAGGATAAAGTGCAGAAGTCTTGCTCATTCCTAGAGGTCATCAGTGAACCCTTAAACTGTGAGTGTTGTGGGAGCAGGTGTTTGAATGTACAGTCTTCCTAAATATTATTTGATGCATTTTTCTCTTTATTTAAATTAGCTTTTGGTTACTTTTGTACAGAAATAACCTTGTGTTTTTCTTAACTTTATCCTTCAGATAATCAAAACTTCTGTTAAAATAAGTTATTGGTGGTACCATTCCTATGACAATATTGTTACTCATCCTTGAACTAAGTATTCTGTTATGGTTACATTTTTCCTGATCCAATATTTTCTCTGTAGTTTTTAATTTTTATTATGCTTTATTATGTACTTACTAACATTTTACTCAAAATGTTTGTTGTTGTTGTTCTCAGTTTTGCCTGATTACTTTTCTATTTTTTTCCATATGGCCACCCTCTAAGGCTTCAGGGCCTGCCCTTTACCAGAGCTTCTCTCTGGTCCCTGTCTTGCTAACCCAGGCTGCAGGTCACTCGCCAGGCCTCCTGGATAGTTACTGTCCAGTTACTGGTGGCTTCTCTCTGTTCTCGTATGGTTTATCATATTCTGTTTCCTCATTTTCTTCATTCGACTGAGCTTCTCAGATACTTTTGAAGAAAGGACACCTCAGATGAGCCATCATTGAAAGCCTTTATTTTACCTTTACATTTTTTTTGATAGTCTTGCTGGAGATACGACTCTAGGTAACAGTTTTATCGCCTCTTTTCAGGATGTGAAGTCCTCTTGAGTCTCATCTGGCTACCGTTTTCCCTGGGGAATAGTCCAGTGGTGTCACAGCCACATATGGCTGCCCCCTCTCAGCAAGCCTTTATCCTCTTTTCTTTACATCTTCTGTGCTAACATCTTGGAAGGAGGTCCTCTTATGTGATTATTTTTTACTCATTTTGCTGATGGGCCTTTTCAACAATATGTATTACCTGAGTTAATATTCAAAATGGAGGTAGGCATTGCTATAGGCATCTTTGAGGAGAGGACTAGGAGGACTTTCAAGTAAGTTATGTGATGCAGATGTGAACATAGGGCAGAAATTGCAGAGTGAGTTCTGAAACCCTAACCTCTGCTGCATCACTAAGTTGTGTTTCTCTTAGACCCACCAGATTACTCTTGAATTTTGTCTTCTACACTGCAACCTCTAGCTGGTTTTTACAGGAATTATAATAATTATTTAACAAAGCCGAGCTAGTAAAAACTAAATATTCTCCTCTTGCTCCAATTTTACTAAAATTTTCTGGATACTGTGTCATTTGTTGCAGTAATGTTTGCTCTTATCCTGACATCATAGCCAAACCTGATGAAGAAGGCACCAGTTCATATTGATAAAAATCCTTCCCCCAGTGGACATCAGTCTGTTAGACTATTCTTGAAGAGGCAGCATTAGAATAGCACATTGCTTAAAATGTGGGCTTTGGTTTCACAAACCTGTGAACTTAGAACCCAAACATTAAACAGATTTCTTACCCTTCAGAGTCTCTTGTTACGGAACATGGAAAATTACCTATGTTAGAAAATGATATGAAAAGTAACCAATTTAAGAAATGTAATATGAATATCTAAGAAATAATGATTTACATGTCCATAGAAATATGATAGTTATGTATACTGTATTTATATATGTATATATATATGAATTCATAAAGTGCATAATAGACTGAAGTAACATTTTGTATAATATAGAGAAGAAAATATACCCACCTTCAAAATAATGAAGATGTAGAATGAAAATTATATATGAATATTATTATATCAGTAACAAGAATCCTTTTCTAGAACAGACCAAATTTCATTTTCTTTCAGGTTAAACATATAATCTGCAGCTTATCTGACATTTGTAATAGCTTTTACTTAAAATCTTAAAAGAGATCACTGATTTTACAAAATTTTTCAAGTGTATAAAATTATAATAATTAAATCTTTGGTCAACTATAAGAACTTAATACTTGAGTCAAGGAAACTTTCTTGTATATATAAGATATGATACCTTCTATCCTCGCTGTCATCATAGTTTTAACATCTCATGTTTGTAATATTGTGCTTGTAGGTAATTCTTACACAGTATCTCAGTGATATGCTGCCATGACCTAAAATACGTATGTGAGGTAGTGACTTAAAATATCATGAGTAAGTGTGTATTCGTGTATGTGAGAATGAAGAGAGTCGCATTGATGGATTTTCTGAGATATCCAGCTACTGCCTCACTAAGGAAGTTACATTTGTAACCTTGTGTGATTTTCTCATTTTTCCACTAAACACATGTGTTTAGATAATGGTTTGAAAAAAGGATATGAAAGAATAATGAAAATATTGGCTTTATATCTTATCTTCAAGGTCTATTAATTAATGATGGATAACATTGATGTCCCTTGTTTGCTTAGCAATGTTTTTAATACACATTGGAATCAAAGCTATTATTGATATCTATTGCAAAAAATCAAGGCTGAGCACCCTAATATTTCCACTAGCATTTGCAAATATTTTAACAATCATACTCATATGAACTGACTAACTCCACTGAATAATTTTGCCCATCAAAGCTGGTAACTATAACACTTTGCCTTTGCTACAGACCTTCTCCTTCGTATTAATTCAACTTGATTAGATCCAGAGCTAGTGTTGACCAAATCAACACCAGGGGTTGAGCTGAGGGAGAAGACAAGGCAGCAGTTGACTCAGTAAACCTGTTACAACTTTCTGGATTAGCAACCTGGGATACTCTATATTAGGAAATTACAGTCTCAACCCAGTTTAGTAATAATCTTAGTTTCCAATCATTTGAAGAGAATTCATATTGGAAGAACAATAGTTACTGTGCCTTGACTATTTTGAGTAACTATGTCTGTTTTTTCTCTGCAGCAATGGCTTCATTTCGCTGTGCAGGAGTACTGAGGAGAGAATCCTGAGGACCGAGTGTTCTTTGAATCAAGAAGGAAGAAAAGTGGCATTTTCACAAGATGGTCCCTGCTCTCAGAAACCTCAACAGGGAGGCTGGGCAGACCCAGATGGCTTTCTGCTCACTTGTATTATATTCTCCTCACAATGCTCTCTGGAAGATTTTCACATTTTCAAATAATCTGTAGAAAAATTGAAGGGATGGAGTTATTAAAAAGGACAGTTGTTTAAAAGGTTAAAGTATAATGTCTGAGGAGTAAGGATTGAGAAAATAAATGAAGAAAGGTATGTTCATTCTTGATTAAACTTTCTAACTATTGAGGAGTTCTCAAATAAGTCAGAGGGTATTGTATGAGAATTGGACCAATGTAGTCATGATCTAAGAGTTTCTGATGGAAAAGACTAAAAAATAACTGACTGAAGTGAAAATAAATTTTATTTTCTATCTCTCATGTATATATTATATATGGAAAATATACATATAAAAATCATGACCATCAGGATTAAAATATCTCCTTGGAGTGAGAAATGAAATCCACCTACCTTTTTCTGGGTGTCTTTTAAGCTTTTGGTTTGCCAGAAGTAATTTAGAAGCATTCAAATGGGCTGGTCTTTTGTGCTTTGGAAGGCATGATCTGCAATACTATTGATCTGTCTCAAGGGCATATCAGAGATGAAGCCGAGTCCCTGGTCAAGACCTTGGGTCAGTGCTAGACCACTGGCCCTTGAACCCCAAGACCTACCTACCAGATTCTGATATCTCTCACACCAGCTAAGCAAGCCAGTGGGGGACAAACGTCGATGGGGCTCTTGCCAAATCAGAATTGACTGGCCAGTAGGAAGCCTGAGAGCAGCGGGAAATGCGGGTTAAAGTATGTCAATAATGTTTCAGAAGAACGATTTCTCCCAAGAATTGTAGCTGCTGGAATGTTTTGACATTTATTCGGTAGAGAAATGTAGCATGTTTTGTGAAGCACTTCAAGAGAGCTGCTGCTAACTGCTGGGGGGTATTGATCTTCTTGTTAAATTGCACGGGCACACTTGGGAGATCATTGAGATTCAGGCAACAGGACAGAAAGGATCGGCTGCACCCGATGGTCACTAATGGTAATTGGTTTCGATCCTTGCACTTGAAGAAGCCATGATTTACTTGATTCACTGATGAAATGTAGACACTAAATATTTTGAAAAGGAAAAAAAAAGCCCATTTTTAAAAAACCATTCATAAGATGGCACCTCCATTCTGGAGACCGTTTTGTATATAATAAATCCAACAGTAGAAAATGTACCAAATATTATTGTTTAAAATTGTGATATTTTTTTTCTTCCTGCTGTGGTTACCTCTTCAATATACCATTTGTTTAATCAGAGTTTTTTTTCTCAATTTGTTCATAATTGAATCCAAGGCAGTGCATGGTCTTTTTGTGCTTTTCACTTACACTTCCTTTTATAGTTATAAAAGAGATACACATTCATGGTAAGAAAAAAAAGAAGGTGACTAAGAGCATAAATAGAAGAAAAAGGCCCTTTCCTCTCTTTGGGCATGTGATACTTTCAAGATTTCATTGCACTGTACAATTTTTTAACATTCTAATTTAACTATTCCATGTTACTAGATATATCAATAACTCATTATTTTAGTGATCATTTTGTGTTATCATTTAGGCAACTGGTGGGAATTTTATTTCTTTTATTAGTTTAACAATTTTACCCCAGATATAGATATGCACACAAACACACATATAAATATATGTGTGTACAAAGGTAGAATAATGTATATCCATATACAAGGTCTATATATGTATTATATATTGATATATATGCATAATACATATATAAATGTTATTATACACACTATACAGGTGATATATTACATAACTTATATATAATATCTACTGACACACATGCTCTTGGACAATTGTATGTGGATGTGTGTGCTACATGTCTAACTGGTAGAATCGCTCAAACAAATTCACAAATTCAGATTTCACAAATTCTGAGTACTTCTGTCAGTTTATTTAGAGTACAACTCAAAAGTGTGGTCATTTTAATAAATACATTTTCAATATAAAAACATTGCAACAATTTATTGTTTTAGGCCTATTTCTTAACTTATCATACCCATATTTACGATCCTGATAGTATTAAAATAAAATTTGAATTATTTTATCACCTGTAACATACTTTGGGGGATTAGAATATTAAATAAATATTAAAATCAATAAAAGAATAAAATTAATAGAATTATAACCCATGTAAATCAATGAAATAACTTAGATTTCATACACATCACATTATCAAGTTGATTTTATTGTGTAGTAATACTCATGCTCTGGTGTTCATAACATTTAATGATCTGCTGCCTGCCCCTCAAGAGCAAGGTCCTGAGTTCGATCCCTAGTACCAAAAAAAAAAGAAGAATGAAAATGGTCTTTTATGAAATATGTTTAAACACTGATGCAAGGGCTATTTCTTTAATTCATATCAGGTAGAATATCTTCCTAAGTAGAAGCATCTAAAAGGAGGGAGAATTTTTATTGGCTATTAAACTTGAAGATATTTTGCAAACTTATATTCCAAAGGAAACCCCTTGCCTATTTCATTCAACTTATTCATGAGGAATGCAAGAGTACTTAGTAGTCTCAATTGTGTTAAAATGTAAAAATATGCATTAGAACCCCTTGAGAGCCTTCAGCCATGAATGTAAATAACATTACCATTTCTTTGGAATCTCATTTTCCATTTCTGGAATGAGGATCATGTTCAAGAGTGCCACAGGCAGGTGTCACAAGAGGCAGACCTCAGTTAAAGGCTGCCAGTGGAACAGTGGCTGTGAAATTACCTTACAGATTCTTGACAATGTATTTCCATCTTATTTTCTGGAGGGATCAGCATGAGTGGAGATAAGAGGATTATCCTTTCTGTTCATCTAGTTCTCAGGTCTCCTCCAGCTTGGACAATAAAAGTTCTAATTAGGGGTAACTGCCCTGATGGGCATCTGTCTGGAAGGATCCAACAGGGATTCTCCAACTCACTCAGGTAGGGGTATTGCAGGCTAGGGATGCATGGATTTCAACTCTTGGCTTCCCAGTACAAGTGAAATACAGTAAACTTCCAAAACTCCTCCTAAGACCTAATTTCCTTGTGTATAGAAAGAATGTTTAAAATAAAAGGGTTTCTGGTCATCTTTATCATTTCACCAATAGGAAAAAGTTGTTTTTTTGCCACAGCCAAGGTGCCATATAAGCAACCATCACTGTACGGGATTAGATACCAAGTGTCCTCTGATTCCAATATTGAATATTCAGGTCTTTTCAGCAGTCCTTGCTTTCACGATATTTCTCATTCTGTGTTTATTGTCCCTGACTACAGAAAGCTTCCCAATCCCGGAGCTTCCAGGCATCTTTCGAATCTTGTTGAGACATACATGTGGAAATCTAGCTATCTGCCTATATTTGGCCACATGGGTAAGCAAGTGTCCTGCACTCATGAAATAGAATCACAACCATGTTCTATTACCCATTATATTTAAGATATCAGTCAACATCACCCTCTGCAAAGAATATGCGGAATTGCATTTCATGGAGATCTTACCCACATCTTCCTTATTTCTGTTATAATCAGATTGATTCTATGCTAGATCCTTTAATTTTCAAAATAAATGCCAGAGTGAGTTTGTCAGTTTTCACAGAAGAACTTATTAGGATTCTGAGATTATGTTGAATCTGTGAGCATGGGAAGAAATGACATCTTAATAGTATTGAGTCTTCCTATCCATGAACATAGAATTTCTCTTCACTTATTAAAATACTTGTTTTCTTTCCACAAGTCTGTCTTCAACAATTAACTCATCATTGCTTTACTTTGTGAATAGAGCAACAGAATAGAGCTTCAAAGAGCAACAGTAGCCGTATTTACCCATGAAATAGTCCTCAAATAGAATAGATGCTATCTGCAGTAAAAAAGTTGTCTGTCTTTCTTTCTCTCTCTTTCTTTCTTTCTTTCTTTCTTTCTTTCTTTCTTTCTTTCTTTCTTTCTTTCTTTCTTCTTTCTTTTTCTTTCCTTCTTTCCTTTCCTTATTTATTTATTTTATGGCCTACAAATATAAAGGGTTTAGTTTTTATTTTTACCAAGAATTTATTCATTGTTTATTTATTTTTATGAGTACATGTTTGCAGTACATATAATGATCATAGTCCTCCTAGGGAGTTGGTCCATGGACATAGCACATTTTAATTTATTTTTTTAAAATCCTTTATCCCTTCCAACCTTACCCCCATCCATCTCTTGGTCCCTTTCTCAATTCAAAAGATAGGAAATAGTGAGATCGATCATTTATTTTCATTTATAATCCTCTATTCTCACGATAAAATACTTTAAAGCCTGGTCAAAATAAATCAAAGGCGTTCTAGCAGTGTATCTTATAACTACTAGTAATAGGTTCATTACATGACTGTGTGCAGGCACAACAATCTAAAGTTACTAATATTTTCTAATAACTCCTTGCAGGGGGATTGCAAGCCAAATTTGCTTATCTTTTCTTTTCTTTTTTCTTTTTTTTTTTTTTTTGGTACTAGAGATCGAACTCCGGTCCTTGTGCTTGCAGGGCTGGCAGCGGAACCACTGAACTAAATCCCCAGCCCTCAAATTTGCTTTTCTAATACATCTCACATTGTGTCAAAAGGTGAGAGTAACCAGAGAGGAAGCAAACCAAGATTGTGCTGTAGAGACTTTGGATGCCATGATCCTTGGAGCCCTGGAGAATAGACTGTGACCCTACAAAATAAAGAATGGTAAATCACTTCTTCCAAAATTGTGAAAAAAATCTTGGAGACACATTTATCATTTTTAAATGTTGAAGTGTTGTAGCAAACTAGTTTAGAGTATTGTATAGGAAAAAATGTTAGGAGACTTGAAATGGATTGATTATCATTTTAACAATGCCACACTCTCTTCTAAGCCATTGACGTGATCCATAGCACTTACAATTGATTGCATACTGTTCGAACTCATGAAATATTAACAAATGTCAGATAATGACAACCCAGGAACAAATATGGAAGACAGAAAACACAGAGAAGATAGCCCTGGGCACTGATTGGATCTGATCTATGTGATCCTGAGCTTTACCAGAAAATCCTTTACTAAAAGGTGTCTCCCCATGGACTTGGACTTTGGGGTGAGGCAACTGTTTACCAAAGGAAGGTACAGACTATTCATTGCCATCAGGAACAGGGGACTTGGTATTAAATGATACAGACTATTATCTGTCACACACTACATTTACAGATTGAATGACAGCTTTCATAGTAGGAGATCCATCTTCTGCTGCTCCAAACAATGTTACAGATAAAACTTCACCTGACCACTTCGAAGGACAGTGTGCTGTTAATCAAGTGATGTTGCTCCAGGCATCATGTTTGCCTTTCACTTCAGGCTATTCTGCACCACAGGGAAGAGGTGAAGTCCCACAGGTCTGTACTCCAGGCATAGTTCAGGGTCTGGGTGCTCATGGTGTAGCTGCTTACTGGCTAGTGCACCATAATTAGAAAAACTGGGCTCCAAACTGAATATTCCACTCTTGTTTTAGATGTTATGCATAGGTACATGTACAAACTATTTATTTGTTCCATTCTCTGGTGCAAACATTTTAGCCTATGAAACACAGAAATAAAAAATTTAAATGCCCCAATATTGGTGACTTTTCTAATCAAAAATTCATTTCTCAAATAAATACATCCTTATAGCTCTCAAGGTTGCTTTACGAAACTGTCATAAATTTCCAGTAATATGTTAAACCTACCATTTTAGTATCTATATTCACTTACTATTATGTGAAGTTCTTCACATTCTTAGGTGTACTGCTGAGAAAGTGGTTATGTGCATTTTACTTATGGCTGAACTGAGAACATCCAGCTTGTAGCTAGTGGAGCCCTGGATTCACAGAAAGATAGGTTCAGTAGAATCTGTATCACATGTAATCCAATATTCATTTATTCAGAAACAAATATCTGCTGAGTGTGGAACACATGCCTGGCCACGAGGATGGAGCACACCCTTCACTGAGCAGAGTGTCCATTCCAGACAGGTGGCCTGTGACTGTCAGCCTCTCTGTGGAGACACTTTATGAGGTCGTCCTTATACTTCACATTGGAATTCTTCCAAGAAGCCACTT